TGGGTGTTAATCACATGGTGATGTGAACTATTGGTGTTAAATCACATGGTGATGTGAACTAGATTTTTGACTCTAGTGCAGGTGGCAGACTGAAGGAAATATGCCCAAGAGGCAATAATCAAGTTGTTATTTTATATTTCCTTATATCATGATAAATGTTTATTATTCATGCTAGAATTGTATTAACCATAAACTTGATATATGTGTGAATACATAGACAAAACAAAGTGTCCCTAGTATGCCTCTACTTGACTAGCTCGTTAATCAAAGATGGTTAAGTTTCCTAACCATAGACATGTGTTGTCATTTGATGAGCGGGATCACATCATTAGGAGAATGATGTGATGGACAAGACCCATCCGTTAGCTTAGCATAATGATCAGTCAGTTTTATTGCTATTGCTTTCTTCATGACTTATACATATTCCTTTTACTATGAGATTATGCAACTCCCAAATACCGGAGGAACACCTTGTGTGCTATCAAATGTCACAACATAACTGGGTGATTATAAAGATGCTCTACAGGTGTCTCCGAAGGTGTTTGTTCGGTTGGCATAGATCAAGATTAGGATTTGTCACTCTGTGTATTGGAGAGGTATCTCTGGGCCCTCTCGGTAATGCACATCACTATAAGCCTTGCAAGCAATGTGACTAATGAGTTAGTTGCGGGATGATGCATTAAGGAACGAGTAAAGAGACTTGCCGGTAACGAGATTGAACTAGGTATGATGATACCGACGATTGAATCTCGGGCAAGTAACATACCGATGACAAAGGGAATGACGTATGTTGTTATGCCATTTGACCGATAAAGATCTTCGTAGAATATGTAGGAACCAATATGAGCATCCAGGTTCGACTATTGGTTATTGACCGGAGATGTGTCTCAGTCATGTCTACATAGTTCTCGAACCCGTAGGGTCCGCACGCTTAACATTCGATGACGATTGGAATTATGAGTTATATGTTTTGGTGAGCCAAGTTTGTTCGGAGTCCCGGATGAGATCACAGACATGATGAGGAGTCTCAAAATGGTCGAGAGGTAAGGATTGATATGTTTGAAGGTTATATACAGACACCAGAATGGTTCCGAAGAAGATCGGGGATTTTTCAGAGTACCAGAAGGTTATCGGACCCCCCGGGAAAGTTAATGGGCCTATTGGGCCATAGTGGAGAGAGGGAGGCTGCCACAGGAGGTGGCGCGTGCCCCCCAAGCCCAATCCGAATTGGACAAGGGGTGGGGGTGCGGCCCCCCTTTCCTTCTCCCCCCCTTTCCCCTTTCCTTCTCCGTTGGAAGGAAGGAGGGGGCCGAATCCTACTTGGACTAGGAGTCCAAGTAGGACTCCCCCCTTGGCGCGCCCCTCCTAGGCCACCGGCTTCCTCCTCCCCCCTTTATATACAGGGGCGGGGGTCACCCCAAAGGCACACCAAGATTTGTCTTTGCCGTGTGCGGTGCCCCCCTCCACAGTTTACTCCTCCGGTCATAGCGTCGTAGTGCTTAGGCGAAGCCCTGCACGGATCACCGTCACCGCGCCGTCGTGCTGACGGAACTCTCCCTCGACCCTCTACTAGATCAAGAGCTCGAGGGACATCATCGAGCTGAACGTGTGCTGAACACGAGTGCCGTACATTCGGTACTTGGATCGGTTGGATCGTGAAGACGTTCGACTACATCAACCGCGTTAACACAACGCTTCCGCTTTCGGTCTACGAGGGTACATGGACATACTCTCCCCTCTTTTTGCTATGCATCTCCTAGATAGATCTTGCGTGATCGTATGATTTTTTTTGAAATTGCATGCTACGTTCCTCAACAAATGTCACCTCGGGAATCCACGAGTTGAGTGCCAAAACACATATCAAGTGAATCAATATGACACCCCATTGTCACCAGGGGCATTCATTACAAGACATACATCAAGTGTTCTCAAATCCATAAAATTATTCGATCCAAGAAGAACGAAATCTTAAAGGGAAAACTCAATTCACAACAAGATAGAGAGGGGAAAACACCATATGATCCAACTATATTAACAAAGCCCGCGATACATCAAGATGGTGACATCTCAAGAACATGCGAGAGAGAGAGAGAGAGATTGAACACATATCTACTTGTACAAACCCTCAACCCCTAGGGTGGTCTACACCCTCCTCGTCATGGTGTCCGCCGGGATGATGAAGATGACCACCGGTGATGATTTCCCCCTCCGGCGGAGTGCCGGAACGGGGTTTAGATTGGTTTTTCGTGGCTACAGAGGCTTGCGGTGGTGGAACTTCTGATATATCGACTCCCCTAGGGTTTTTGGAATATTTGGGAATTTATAGATTGAAGAGGCGGTGCGGGAGGCCACCGAGCTGGGCACAACCCACCTGGGGGCGCCCTGGTGGGTTGTGCTCCCCTCGGAGCCCCCCTCTGGTACTTCTTTGGCCCATCAGGTGTCTTCTGGTCCAGAAAAATTCTCCAAAAAGGTTCGTTGCATTTGGACTTTGTTTGGTATTGATTTCCTGCCGAGTAAAAAACAAGCAAAAAACAGCAACTGGCACTAGGCACTATGAGATGAGTAACATCCATAAAGGGAAAAATGTATAAGGCAAAGCAACAACCCCGAGAAAAAGGCGAGGAAAAACAATGGCGAATAAAAGTCAAAAACATAATTATACATAGCATCACACATCATTCAAGGAAAGACAACATCATGAATAGTACTGCTACATGCATACAACCATACATCCCATCATAATCGTCTAATCATAGAGGCAATGATCGCACTGGCACTCTGACGGCTCTGCAGGTGTCTCCTCGGTCTTAGACTCTGAGTCGGAACTAATAATGATAATGGAAACCCCCGGAGCAAAGGAAACATGGCGACGCTGACGGGATGGATCTCCCTTAGGATCTGGAGCCGGATGACTACGTAACATAGGACCGGCGGGGGTAGCGAGAAGTAAAGCCCACTCGGCGGGAGTCTCGTGAGGAGTCACCGTCCAAGTGTTGAGTTACTCTGAGGGGTAACTGGCGTAGGTGGGGGTATAGTAATTGGAGGAATGAGAGGGGCATACGCAAGTGAAGGTGGAGCGGATGCATATCGAGCGGCAACAAGCGCGTCTCGAGTGCGGTTCAAAATCACAATAATGAAGTTTTCTAAGGATGAATGAACTGGTAGCACTGGTGGCATTGGTATTACCCTTTAAGAAGAAATAAAATGAAAGGAATATTAAGCAAATAATGACAAAATTTGCACACAATTTACACAGAAATTGCACTTTTTATAATATAATAGTGGGATTTTAAAAAAGAAAAGTTTCTTAAGAAGGATTTAATTAGTGTCATTGATATTACCCATTAAGAAGAAAGAAAATGAAACAAAAACTACAAAAATGGAGTGGTAAAATTAATTAATGTCATCAGTATTACATTTTAAGAAGAGAGGAAATAAAAAAATATTAAGCAAATAATGACCAAATTGCATACAATTTACACATAATTTGCACTTTTTAGCATATGCAAGCATAAGCATATAATATTAGGATTTCGAAAAAGTAAGTTTCCGAAGAAGGAATGAGTTAGTGGCAATGATCTCACCATAAAGAAGATAGAAAATGAAACATGAAGTAAAAATAAATAAAGAGTTATAATGAACTAGTTGCATCGGTATTACCCTTTAAGAAGAAAAAAATATCAAGCAAATAATGACCAAATTTGCACACAATTTACACATAAATTCCCTTTTTTAGCATATGCAAGCATAAGCATATAAATTAGGATTTCAGAAAAAGTAAGTTCCTAAGAAGGAATGAATTAGTGGCAATGATCTTACTATAAAGAAGATAGATAATGAAACGTAAAGTAAAAAAAGAGATAGAAAGAAAATAAAAAAACTTGGACACGACTTCACACTTTTTAAATAGGTAAGAAATAAACATATAGTGGTGCACTTTTCACACTCTAGTATAATTTAGCACATGTTATACAATATTTTCATGTATACATTTTACACTTATGCAACATCCTAATAATACCCATAAAACCGACTAAAAAAGAAAAAGCAAAAAGACACAAGAACAGAAAAAGGAGGAATGACAACAGGCAACCCAAATGGCTTTCAGACCAACAAAAAATCGACTGACCCGAAACAGTGGCCAGTCAAAGTTTGGGCCCAAACAATACATCAGCCACTACAAAAAAAATGCACGAATCTTCAAGCACAAATCAATGAACTAAAAGATCGACTGGCCCAAAATGGATTTTCACGGAACTTGCATGTAACTGACTAAAAAAAAGCTAAATTGGGTGGGAAAGGGTCAGATCCGGATATATTCGCTGTAAACCTTCATCTTTTTTATTTAAACAGTGACTTAGCTGGTCAAGGCCTAGGCCGCCGTAGCTGGGACATAGGCCTAGCACAGGCCAGGCGGGCGCCTTTGTGACCAGAGGGACAGTCGATGCTCAGCGGCCTCCGTATCAGCGACGACCGCGATGACGCTCGTGGAGCCGAGCCGGACGGAGGAATCGAATCTGCTTTCCCTTTCCTCCTCCCCGCCAAGAAATGGACGGCTGCACAGTTTCTATACCAGGAAACCGGAACCGGTCCATCTCCTCCTCGTTCATTGTTGGAGCTCAGTCACGAAGGCTCTGGTCCTCGGTCAAGCCAAGGGCTTTCTTTTCGACGTCTCTTCCAGGATCAAGTGTGGGCTCTTCTGGATGGAGTGGTGGACAGCACTGAGGTTGATGTCGCCAGCCCGGGTTCGAGTCCCTCATCTCCTATAAGAATAAGATAGGGGGGAGTCTCCCCTCTGTTCTCATTCTTTTACCAGACGGTGGTTTTACCCCCTCAAAAAAAGGACGGTAGTTTTACCAGCACGTCCACATGGCAACCACCACCAATTACTGCATCCATGGTTAATTTTACGCCCAGACGCGCGCAACCGTCAAAAGCAAAGCCAACCTCACAGTCCTCAGCTCAACTTGAAACCACTCCCACCAGCGGCCACGGCATTGATGGATCTCTCACCAGCCACCGCGGGTGCCTATGGCGGAAAGGCGGCGGACGCGTACCGGAAGGCGCTCAGCTCAGCTGCCTCGGCCGCCGCGTACGCCGTGCTGGCGCGGAGCATGGCGCGTGCGCTCCTCCCGGACGAGCTGCGCGCCGCGGTGCGCTGGGCCGCGTCCGTGCTCCGCGCGCGCCTCGGCTGGGGCGCCAAGGAGCGGCGAACGCTCGTCATCCGAAGCCACACCGGCGGCGGCGGTCGCGAGGAGAATCTTCTCTTCGACGCGGCGCGGACGTACCTGTCCTCCAGGCTCGACCCGCGCGCCATGCGCCGTCTCGGGCTCAGGCTGTGCGCGACCAGGGACGATGGTGGCCTGAGAAGCTGGACGAAGCGCCTCTTCATTGAGCCCGGGGACTCCACCGTCGATGTCTTCGACGGCGTCGAGTTCATGTGGTCGTCCGTCCAGAAGACTAATGGCGGCGGAGGAGGAAACAAGAAGTCCAAGAACGGGGAGTCCGGCACCGCCGAGTTTCTGCTCAAGCTCAGCTTCGACGCCAAGCACACAGACATGGCTATGGAGAGGTACGTGCCCTTCGTCATGGGGGCGGCCGAGGAGACGAGGCTGCGGGAGCGTTCGCTCATGATCTGCATGAACGAGGGCCGAACATGGTTCAGGCTGCACCACCATCACCCCGCCACGTTCGACACGCTCGCCATGGACCCGGTGCTCAAGCAGTCCATCGTCGCCGACCTCGACCTGTTCGCCAACAGGAGGGACCACTACCGGCGGATTGGCAAGGCGTGGAAGCGCGGGTACCTTCTCTACGGCCCGCCCGGCACCGGCAAGTCCAGCCTGGTGGCCGCCATGGCCAACCACCTCCGCTACAACATCTACGACCTCGACCTCAGCCACGTGCAAAACACAACGCTGCAGTGGCTGCTCCTCACCATGTCTGACAAGTCCATCCTTGTCATCGAGGACATCGACTGCTGCTGCGATGCCATGTTAAGGGAGGTGGACAGCAAGACGCCGGCGCGGACTTGCAAAGAAGACGGCGGCGGCTCATCAGAAACTTCGGACGGTACGCCGTCTCCGAAGCGCAAATCGGAGGTAATTACGGACGTGCTCTTCCCCTGCATTGCTGTGTGAACATATTACGTATACTATATACCTATCTCAATGTCCATATGCCCACTTCTGCGTACGGCGAACTCAGATCACGCTTTCGGGGCTGCTCAACTTCATCGACGGGCTCTGGTCGACCAGTGGCGAGGAGCGCCTCATCGTCTTCACCACCAATTACAAGGACCGGCTCGACCCGGCGCTGCTGCGGCCGGGGCGCATGGACATGCACGTCTACATGGGCTACTGCTGCTGGGAGGCATTCAAGACTCTGGCCCGGAACTACTTCCTCGTCGACGACCACCCCCTCTTCCCGGAGATACAGGAACTGCTTATGGCGGTGCAGGTGACGCCGGCCGAGGTGTCCGAGATGCTGCTGAGGACCAATGAGCCTGACGTCGCGCTCCGGAGTCTCACGGAGTTCCTCTTAGAGAAGAAGCAGGGACAGAGCAAGATGGAGGAAGTGCATGAAGAGAACTAAGCAGGGAGAGAGTGATCCAGGGAAGTAACTCCATTACAGCACACATCAACAACTAGCTTCCTAGTCTCGGAATTAGCCGATCTAACGAATGCATTTGTTTTGCAAATGTCTCGTGGTCGCATTATCACATTGCTGCAAGATTATTATTACTACTCTTCATGTGTAGCATCATTTGTGCAGATGCTCTTTAGATCGATCTTTGATCAATGTTATGCTGGCATTCTCTACTGATGCATAGCTTCTTTTTCTCAACCGCTGGATGCATAGCTTGATGCGTTATTTAGTTCTTTCCAGTTGGAGCAAGTACAATAAGTTGATGTAGATGGGTTGTAAGACTTTAAAAAATATATTTTGGATGAGTTGGATAAGAGCGAGCTACTAATTAACAGCCGGTTGTAGCACACGCTCCTTGCCACTATGTGAGAGAGGAAGGCGCTCCTAACCACTATGTGAGAGAGGAAGGTGGGTCATGTTTCAACAAAGTAATACATATTTATATGTGACTATTGTACTTGCGGCTATACTATTAACCATGCTCTAGATTTTACGAGCCTTGGCCCAATAAATCTTGTTTCTCATTCTAGTATTTTCTTTAAATCTCATAGACCATTTGACTTGTATGTCATATGTGTAAATTTAGTCTCACACTGCCGGTTGAGTAGAAAAAACTATTGGCATAGAGCATCAACAGTGTTTAGAGGCAACGTTGCCTCTAAACTGTGGTCCATCGTATTGCCCCAAAGACTAGATGGAAAACGCGCAGTGTATAGCATTTGGCACAACCTCCGTGTTGCCCCGAAGACTAGATGAAATACACGCAGTGTATAGCATTTGGCACAACTGTCGGTGTCAAAGCCGGCGGATCTCCGGTAGGGGGTCCCGAACTATGCGTCTAAGGCTAATGGTAACAGGAGCCAGGGGACACAATGTTTACGCAGGTTAGGGCCCTCTCTATGGAGGTAATACCCTACTTCCTGTTTGATTGATCTTGATGAATATGAGTATTACAAGAGTTGATCTACCACGAGATCGTAATGGCTAAACCCTAGAAGTCTAGCCTATGGGATTATGATTGTTGTCCTACGGACTAAACCGTCCGGTTTATATAGACACCGGAGGGGGCTAGGGTTACACAAAGTCGGTTACAGAGAAAGGAATCTACATATCCGAATAGCCAAGCTAGCTTTCCACGCAAAGGAGAGTCCCATCCGGACACGGGATGAAGTCTTCAATCTTGTATATTCATAGTCCAACAGTCCGGCCCATGTATATATGTTGGGGAACGTAGTAATTTTAAAAAAATTCCTACGCACACGCAAGATCATGGTGATGCATAGCAACGAGAGGAGAGAGTGTTGTCCACGTACCCTCGTAGACCGAAAGCGGAAGCGTTAAAACAACGTAGTTGATGTAGTTGTACGTCTTCACGGCCCGACCGATCAAGCACCAAAACTACGGCACCTCCGAGTTCTAGCACACGTTCAGCTCGATGACGATCCCCGTACTCCAATCCAGCAGAATGTCAGGGAAGAGTTCCGTCAGCACGACGGCGTGGTGACGATCTTGATGTTCTACCGTCGCAGGGTTTCGCCAAAGCACCGCTACAATATTATCGAGGAGGACTATGGTGGAGGGGGGCACCGCACACGGCTAAGAGATCAAGAGATCAATTGTTGTGTCTAGAGGTGCCACCTGCCCCCGTATATAAAGGAGCCAGGGGGGAGGGGGCAGCCGGCCTAAGAGGGGGCGCGCCAAGGGGAGTCCTACTCCCACCGGGAGTAGGACTCCCTCCTTCCTTGTTGGACTAGGAGAAGGGGGGAAGGAGGAGGGAGAGAGGAAGGAAAGGGGGGGCTCTCCTTGTCCTAATCGGACTAGGGGGGAGGGGCGCGCGGCCCAGCCCTTGCCTCCTCTCCTCTTCTCCAATAAGGCCCATGTAGGCCCATTAAGCCCCCGGGGGGTTCCGGTAACCCCCCGGTACTCCGGTAAAACCCTGATTTCACCCGGAACACTTCCGACATCCAAATATAGGCTTCCAATATATCAATCTTCATGTCTCGACCATTTCGAGACTCCTCGTCATGTCCATAATCACATCCGGGACTCCGAACAAACTTCGGTACATCAAAACTCATAAACTCAAAATATAACTGTCATCGAAACCTTAAGCGTGCGGACCCTACGAGTTCAAAAACTATGTAGACATGACCGAGAACCATTTCGGGTCAATAACCAATAGCGGAACCTGGATGCTCATATTGGCTCCTACATATTCTACGAAGATCTTTATCGGTCAAACAATATAACAACATACATTGTTCCCTTTGTCATCGGTATGTTACTTGCCCGAGATTTGATCGTCGGTATCCTAATACCTAGTTCAATCTCGTTACCGGCAAGTCTCTTTACTCGTTACGTAATGCATCATTCCATAACTAACTCATTAGCTACATTGCTTGCAAGGCTTATAGTGATGTGCATTACCGAGAGGGCCCAGAGATACCTCTCCGACAATCAGAGTGACAAAACCTAATCTCGAAATACGCCAACTCAACATGTACCTTTGGAGACACCTGTAGAGCTCCTTTATAATCACCCAGTTACGTTGTGACGTTTGGTAGCGCACAAAGTGTTCCTCCGGTAAAAGGGAGTTGCATAATCTCATAGTTACAGGAACTTGTATAAGTCATGAAGAAAGCAATAGCAACATACTAAACGATCAAGTGCTAATCTAACGGAATGGGTCAAGTCAATCATATCATTCTCGTAATGATGTGATCCCGTTAATCAAATGACAACACATGTCTATGGTTAGGAAACATAACCATCTTTGATTAACGAGCTAGTCAAGTAGAGGCATACTAGTGACATTAAGTTTGTCTATGTGTTGACACATGTATCATGTTTCCGGTTAATACAATTCTAGCATGAATAATAAACATTTATCATGATATGAGGAAATAAATAATAACTTTATTATTGCCTCTAGGGCATATTTCCTTCAATATAGTCCGGCTATCCGAGGACCCCCTAATCCAGGACTCCCTCAGTAGCCCCCGAACCAGGCTTCAATGACGATGAGTCCGGCGCGCAAATTGTCTTCGGCATTGCAAGGCGGGTTCCTTCTACGAATATTTCAAAGTACCTGAATTAAATAGCAGTGTCCGGCTTTTCATTTAATGACGCACTCATCGGCTTCTGCACCTTCATGATTTCAGCTTCCACATGTCGAGCGAATACGAGAGGTCGGGGCATTTTTGCATTTACCACCCTAACCATATAAGAAAATTGTCTATTAAAGAGACGGGGATCTTCAGATCTAATCCACACCATCTCCCCCAAACGAGAAATCCTCGGAGCTTGCTCGTAGAAACCACCCCAACATGGCCAGCGTTCCCAGCTCTTCCTCACGCCCTCACGGCTCCAAGCAGGGTGATTGCAAAAAGTGTTCCATATCCCACGGCCAACTGGTGAAGCTGCAGACCCAGGGATTTCTTCCCCTCGCAGATCTAGTCCCTGTTCGAGCCGGATTGGCTTCCTTCGTCAGCGGGGAACAGGCGGAGAGGTTCCCCAACCCATCCAGGGGGAACGAGTATGCTTTGTTCCCTATTTGCTGAGAGGCGTCGGATTTCCAATCCATCCGTTCCTCCGAGGGCTTCTGGAGTACTATGGCCTCCAACTGCATAACTTCACACCTGCCTCCATCCTGCACATTGCGGGTTATGTCGCTCTATGCGACCTATTTCTGGGTTGCGAGGCTCATTTTGAGTTATGGAAGAAGTTGTTTTTCCTCGTCCCTCGTAATCAAGAGGGATCCATATTCCAAGTGGGCGGAGCCGAGATATGGCGCATCGCCGGGACTGGATACCTATCCGGCACACCGAAGAAGGCATCCGAAGAATGGCCTTCCGAATGGTTCTATGTTGAGGACGTCTCCCTTCCTGACCCAATCCGAAGAGGCCTCCCTGAATTTTCAAGTGCTCCATTGAAGAAGCGCCTCAGCTGGCGTCCTCGGAGCCTCAGGGAGGAACATAGCGTGGAAGTCCACCAATTGATGAGCAAGAGAAAGATGCTCGCTCAATCCGGATTGTCAGTAGTCGATGTTATGGCAATATCCATAATGCGAGGGGTTCAGCCACTCTAATACCGAGGGCACCCTATGTGGCACTTTAATGGAGAAGATGACGCCAACCGCTACGGTCGAAAGGGTCCGGACATTGCCGCTGCTTTGGCGAAAATACTGTCTAGATTATACAAAGGGGATAAGGAGGAGTTCATCCACATCAAGCCTAGAGATGGGTTTTCCATGTACAAACCTCCCAGCTAGGTGAGTTTCCATCCCGCTACTCTACTCCATTCATACCCTGAGTCCTTTTTTCATAAATATCAATCTGTCCATTTATAATAGGAATGGCGGAGAATTACCAGGGAGATCCACAACCCCGCACCATAGCCAGAGGACCACAACCGGTCCCTTGACCCCGGATTCGAAGAGGATCCGGATATATTCGTGGAGCTCGGGGAAGGGGTGTTTTACCAGGCGAGCTGTGACGGCACCGGAGTGGCCATCATTGCTGACTATCCCGGCCTTCTCCCCGTGTCACATGTAAGTAATCAGGAGACTTGTCCTTTGAGAGAATTCCCTCTTTCCTCCTTACCCACCGCACTATATTATGCTCTAAAGGGGAGGCGATGGGCGTGCAACGCTGCACCTGAGGCAACGCGCAAGAAGGCTGCGCGTACGCCGGGTAGGCCTTCGAAGAGGAAAGCCAATGGAAGCGCGACCGAGCCCTTATCAAAGAGGTATGGTTGTTTTAAGTATGCTCTATGGCTGTCACATTTAAAGTGTGACAATATCCGTTGTGTCTTATCAGGAAAAACATTCATCGGACTATGTCCGGGGATCCTGCCGGTCATGCCTCTACGAGCCGGATTCCGGACCCTGTCGCAAGGACTGAGGCTAACACGGAAGTGACACCGGATTGTCCTTCTGCGGAGGATTC